TCTGCTGTGGTGTTAGACAGAAGGAAGGCTGTGTGAGTAAGAGGACCTGAGTTCTGCTGTGGTGTTAGACAGAAGTAAGGCTGTGTGAGTAAGAGGACCTGAGTTCTGCTGTGGTGTTAGACAGAAGTAAGGCTGTGTGAGTGAGAGGACCTGAGTTTTGCTGTGGTGTTAGACAGAAGTAAGGCTGTGTGAGTAAGAGTACCTGAGTTCTGCTGTGGTGTTAGACAGAATTAAGGCTGTGTGAGTGAGAGGACCTGAGTTCAACTGTGGTGTTAGACAGAGGTAAGGCTGTGTGAAAGGACCTGAGTTCTGCTGTGGTGTTAGACAGAAGTAAGGCTGTGTGCGTAAGAGGACCTGAGTTCCGCTGTGGTGTTAGACAGAAGGAAGGCTGTGTGAGTGAGAGGACCTGAGTTCTGCTGTGGTGTTAGACAGAAGTAAGGCTGTGTGTGTGAGAGGACCTGAGTTCTGCTGTGGTGTTAGACAGAAGTAAGGCTGTGTGAGTAAGAGGACCTGAGTTCTGCTGTGGTGTTAGACAAAAGTAAGGCTGTGTGAGTAAGAGGACCTGAGTTCTGCTGTGGTGTTAGACAGAAGTAAGGCTGTGTGAGTAAGAGGACCTGAGTTCTGCTGTGGTGTTAGACAGAAGTAAGGCTGTGTGTGTAAGAGGAGCTGAGTTCTGCTGTGGTGTTAGACAGAAGTAAGGCTGTGTGAGTAAGAGGACCTGAGTTCTGCTGTAGTGTTAGACAGAAGTAAGGCTGTGTGAGTGAGAGGACCTGAGTTCTGCTGTGGTGTTAGACAGAAGTAAGGCTGTGTGAGTAAGAGGATCTGAGTTCTGCTGTGGTGTTAGACAGAAGTAAGGCTGTGTGAGTAAGAGGACCTGAGTTCTGCTGTGGTGTTAGACAGAAGTAAGGCTGTGTGAGTAAGAGGACCTGAGTTCTGCTGTGGTGTTAGACAGAAGTAAGGCTGTGTGTGTGAGATGACCTGAGTTCTGCTGTGGTGTTAGACAGAAGTAAGGTTGTGTGAGTAAGAGGGCCTGAGTTCTGCTGTGGTGTTAGACAGAAGTAAGGCTGTGTGAGTAAGAGGACCTGAGTTCTGCTGTGGTGTTAGACAGAAGTAAGGCTGTGTGAGTAAGAGGACCTGAGTTCTGCTGTGGTGTTAGACAGAAGTAAGGCTGTGTGTGTGAGATGACCTGAGTTCTGCTGTGGTGTTAGACAGAAGTAAGGCTGTGTGAGTAAGAGGGCCTGAGTTCTGCTGGGGTGTTAGACAGAAGTAAGGCTGTGTGAGTAAGAGGACCTGAGCTCTGCTGTGGTGTTAGACAGAAGTAAGGCTGTGTGAGTAAGAGGACCTGAGCTCTGCTGTGGTCTTAGACAGAAGTAAGGCTGTGTGAGTAAGAGGACCTGAGTTCTGCTGTGGTGTTAGACAGAAGTAAGGCTGTGTGAGTAAGAGGACCTGAGTTCTGCTGTGGTGTTAGACAGAAGTAAGGCTGTGTGAGTAAGAGGACCTGAGTTCTGCTGTGGTGTTAGACAGAAGGCAGGCTGTGTGAGTAAGAGGACCTGAGTTCTGCTGTGGTGTTAGACAGAAGTAAGGCTGTGTGAGTGAGAGGACCTGAGTTCTGCGGTGGTGTTAGACAGAAGGAAGGCTGTGTGAGTGAGAGGACATGAGTTCTGCTGTGGTGTTAGACAGAAGTAAGGCTGTGTGTGTGAGAGGACCTGAGTTCTGCTGTGGTGTTAGACAGAAGTAAGGCTGTGTGAGTAAGAGGACCTGAGTTCTGCTGAGGTGTTAGACAGAAGTAAGGCTGTGTGAGTAAGAGGACCTGAGTTCTGCTGTGGTGTTAGACAGAAGTAAGGCTGTGTGAGTAAGAGGACCTGAGTTCTTCTGTGGTGTTAGACAGAAGTAAGGCTGTGTGAGTGAGAGGACCTGAGTTCTGCTGTGGTGTTAGACAGAAGGAAGGCTGTGTGAGTAAGAGGACCTGAGTTCTGCTGTGGTGTTAGACAGAAGTAAGGCTGTGTGAGTAAGAGGACCTGAGTTCTGCTGTGGTGTTAGACAGAAGTAAGGCTGTGTGAGTGAGAGGACCTGAGTTTTGCTGTGGTGTTAGACAGAAGTAAGGCTGTGTGAGTAAGAGTACCTGAGTTCTGCTGTGGTGTTAGACAGAATTAAGGCTGTGTGAGTGAGAGGACCTGAGTTCAACTGTGGTGTTAGACAGAGGTAAGGCTGTGTGAAAGGACCTGAGTTCTGCTGTGGTGTTAGACAGAAGTAAGGCTGTGTGCGTAAGAGGACCTGAGTTCCGCTGTGGTGTTAGACAGAAGGAAGGCTGTGTGAGTGAGAGGACCTGAGTTCTGCTGTGGTGTTAGACAGAAGTAAGGCTGTGTGTGTGAGAGGACCTGAGTTCTGCTGTGGTGTTAGACAGAAGTAAGGCTGTGTGAGTAAGAGGACCTGAGTTCTGCTGTGGTGTTAGACAAAAGTAAGGCTGTGTGAGTAAGAGGACCTGAGTTCTGCTGTGGTGTTAGACAGAAGTAAGGCTGTGTGAGTAAGAGGACCTGAGTTCTGCTGTGGTGTTAGACAGAAGTAAGGCTGTGTGTGTAAGAGGAGCTGAGTTCTGCTGTGGTGTTAGACAGAAGTAAGGCTGTGTGAGTAAGAGGACCTGAGTTCTGCTGTAGTGTTAGACAGAAGTAAGGCTGTGTGAGTGAAAGGACCTGAGTTCTGCTGTGGTGTTAGACAGAAGTAAGGCTGTGTGAGTAAGAGGATCTGAGTTCTGCTGTGGTGTTAGACAGAAGTAAGGCTGTGTGAGTAAGAGGACCTGAGTTCTGCTGTGGTGTTAGACAGAAGTAAGGCTGTGTGAGTAAGAGGACCTGAGTTCTGCTGTGGTGTTAGACAGAAGTAAGGCTGTGTGAGTAAGAGGACCTGAGTTCTGCTGTGGTGTTAGACAGAAGGCAGGCTGTGTGAGTAAGAGGACCTGAGTTCTGCTGTGGTGTTAGACAGAAGTAAGGCTGTGTGAGTGAGAGGACCTGAGTTCTGCTGTGGTGTTAGACAGAAGGAAGGCTGTGTGAGTGAGAGGACATGAGTTCTGCTGTGGTGTTAGACAGAAGTAAGGCTGTGTGTGTGAGAGGACCTGAGTTCTGCTGTGGTGTTAGACAGAAGTAAGGCTGTGTGAGTAAGAGGACCTGAGTTCTGCTGAGGTGTTAGACAGAAGTAAGGCTGTGTGAGTAAGAGGACCTGAGTTCTTCTGTGGTGTTAGACAGAAGTAAGGCTGTGTGAGTAAGAGGACCTGAGTTCTTCTGTGGTGTTAGACAGAAGTAAGGCTGTGTGAGTGAGAGGACCTGAGTTCTGCTGTGGTGTTAGACAGAAGGAAGGCTGTGTGAGTAAGAGGACCTGAGTTCTGCTGTGGTGTTAGACAGAAGTAAGGCTGTGTGAGTAAGAGGACCTGAGTTCTGCTGTGGTGTTAGACAGAAGTAAGGCTGTGTGAGTGAGAGGACCTGAGTTTTGCTGTGGTGTTAGACAGAAGTAAGGCTGTGTGAGTAAGAGTACCTGAGTTCTGCTGTGGTGTTAGACAGAAGTAAGGCTGTGTGAGTAAGAGGGCCTGAGTTCTGCTGTGGTGTTAGACAGAAGTAAGGCTGTGTGAGTAAGAGGACCTGAGTTCTGCTGTGGTGTTAGACAGAAGTAAGGCTGTGTGAGTAAGAGGACCTGAGTTCTGCTGTGGTGTTAGACAGAAGTAAGGCTGTGTGAGTAAGAGGACCTGAGTTCTGCTGTGGTGTTAGACAGAAGTAAGGCTGTGTGAGTGAGGAAGTAAGGCTGTGTGAGTGAGAGGACCTGAGTTCTGCTGTGGTGTTAGACAAAAGGAAGGCTGTGCGAGTAAGAGGACCTGAGTTCTGCTGTGGTGTTAGACAGAAGTAAGGCTGTGTGAGTAAGAGGACCTGAGTTCTGCTGTGGTGTTAGACAGAAGTAAGGCTGTGTGAGTAAGAGGACCTGAGTTCTGCTGTGGTGTTAGATAGAAGTAAGGCTGTGTGAGTAAGAGGACCTGAGTTCTGCTGTGGTGTTAGACAGAAGTAAGGCTGTGTGAGTAAGAGGACCTGAGTTCTGCTGTGGTGTTAGACAGAAGTAAAGCTGTGTGTGTGAGATGACCTGAGTTCTGCTGTGGTGTTAGACAGAAGTAAGGCTGTGTGTGTGAGATGACCTGAGTTCTGCTGTGGTGTTAGACAGAAGTAAGGCTGTGTGTGTGAGATGACCTGAGTTCTGCTGTGGTGTTAGACAGAAGTAAGGCTGTGTGAGTGAGAGGACCTGAGTTCTGCTGTGGTGTTAGACAGAAGTAAGGCTGTGTGAGTGAGAGGACCTGAGTTCTGCTGTGGTGTTAGACAGAAGTAAGGCTGTGTGAGTAAGAGGACCTGAGTTCTGCTGTGGTGTTAGACAGAAGTAAGGCTGTGTGAGTAAGAGGACCTGAGTTCTGCTGTGGTGTTAGACAGAAGTAAGGCTGTGTGAGTAAGAGGGCCTGAGTTCTGCTGTGGTGTTAGACAGAAGTAAGGCTGTGTGAGTAAGAGGACCTGAGTTCTGCCGTGGTGTTAGACAGAAGTAAGGCTGTGTGAGTAAGATGACCTGAGTTCTGCTGTGGTGTTAGACAGAAGTAAGGCTGTGTGAGTAAGAGGGCCTGAGTTCTGCTGTGGTGTTAGACAGAAGTAAGGCTGTGTGAGTAAGAGGACCTGAATTCTGCCGTGGTGTTAGACAGAAGTAAGGCTGTGTGAGTAAGAGGACCTGAGTTCTGCTGTGGTGTTAGACAGAAGTAAGGCTGTGTGAGTAAGAGGACCTGAGTTCTTCTGTGGTGTTAGACAGAAGTAAGGCTGTGTGAGTGAGAGGACCTGAGTTCTGCTGTGGTGTTAGACAGAAGGAAGGCTGTGTGAGTAAGAGGACCTGAGTTCTGCTGTGGTGTTAGACAGAAGTAAGGCTGTGTGAGTAAGAGGACCTGAGTTCTGCTGTGGTGTTAGACAGAAGTAAGGCTTTGTGTGTGAGAGGACCTGAGTTCTGCTGGATCGTAGCGCTGCCCGAGCGAAGAACGTCATGGTTATAAGCAGACTCCCTCCTATCAAGCTGTGGCAGAAGAACACTCGCTCTACTTTTTCGATGGCCATCTGTGAAAAAGAAAAGGGAGTTTCAGTTCATATAGTAACTTGCACATGTATAATCGCTCATTCATTAAACTCTTAAAAATAAAGGTTGCAAAAAGGAGTTTTCACAGCAATGTGATAGAAGAATATTCTGCAATAGATAACAAGGAGGGATACCCCTCAGGTAGTCTACCTCTGCTTGGCAAGATCTTCAACACGGGCCATGCTATAGAGGCCTATAAAGCACCCATCAAAGGGGAGAATACATCCCTACTTCAAGACCCAACGGTAGTTAGGGAGGGAGGTAAACAAAGCAGTGGGAATCTATAATTCTGTTTATCCTGCATCAACCCTAAGTGGACACCTACCAAGCAACCCATCCACAGGGGATTTTACATCCCCTATGTAAGAGTCTAAAGTAGAATATAGCTCTACTCTGGAAAAATACTTTTAGGATATCAGAGCAGAGAAAGAGAGACGGCAAACCTCCGCTCACAGCCACTGAGCTCGGGGGTGAAGGGGGGTGTCCTCAGACATATAGCGATCCTATAACCTAATCTGAAACGATCTTTACTTTATCTTTATCTTTACTAGTGGGTTGCCATGATCTTCACTTTAGAATAGTGTTACAAATAATTAGTAATTCCTTCTGAAGGATTTGGTAATACGTGACTAATTGCTCTTAGGTTACCATAATCTTTTCTTTAGAATCAATTGTACATTGTGCATTACTCTCATTAATTATGAACCTGTAAATACTACTTATTAGTAATCCTCTGGGAGGTATGAAAAAAATAGTAGTTTTTTTTAACTGAGCGCTATTACTGTAACGTGATGCAGTTGAATTAAAGATGAGGCAGGATCCAACTGCAGCACACGCTTTAATTAACAAACTTTACAACAGGAAAGACTAGATACAGGACTCGGGAACAGGAACAAACAACATGTCGTTAAACATTCGACAAGAACTCACAAATACCAGGCTGAAACACAGGGCTTAAATAATCAGGGACACACGAGCTAGATAGGATAACAAGGGGGCGTGGTAAATGGGAAACACCTGGGAAAACTAATGACAAGACAGGGAACCACTAAACATGACAGGACACAAAACCACATCGTAACATAGCCCCCCCCTATAAAAACAGCAAAAAAAAAAGTTCAGGAGGGCGGTAAAGCGGAGGCGGTCTTGGGGGAGAGACAGAGGGCCAGGCCCGTGCAGGGGAACGGGACCAGGAGGTAGCCAAGGCGGGCCTGGGCCGCAGAGCGTGGAAGGACCAGACTGGGCCGGTGACCAGGGCGGAGCCGGACGAGGTGAAGGCCAGGGCGGAGCAGGACGAGGCGAAGGCCAGGGCGGAGCAGGACGAGGCGAACGCACCGACAAGGTCCATGTCAGCGCTGCCTCCATGACCCTTTCGTGGGACCTCCTACTGCCCCCCCCAAAAAAAAATACTTGGGAGAACCTAGGGGAACAACCTCCGGGCTGGCAACGGACTCTGGGACAGTCTCATGGAGCTCGAGAGACATTGGCAGGGCGAGGCGCAGAGGCGGGGCCGGCAGGGTGAGGTGCAGAGGCGGGGCCGGCAGGGCGAGGCGCAGAGGCGGGGCCGGCAGGGCGAGGATTATGGGAACGCCCACTGTACGGGACCGATCTAAACCAAACGAGTCCTCCTTCTCCTCCTGCGACGGCGAGTCACTGGGCTTGATACTCTCACTTGGCTAGATTCACTCACTTGGTTAGATTCGACATTTGACTCATTTGACTCGGCTCTTGACTTGACTCACTTGACTTGGCACTTGACTTGGCACTTGACTCACTTGACTTGGCACTTGACTCACTTGACTTGGCACTTGACTCACTTGACTTGGCACTTGACTCGGCACTTGACTTGGCACTTGACTTGGCACTTGACTCACTTGACTTTGCACTTGACTTTGCACTTGACTCACTTGACTTGGCACTTGACTCACTTGGCTTGGCACTTGACTCACTTGACTTGGCACTTGACTCACTTGATTCACTTGACACGGCACTTGATTCACTTGACTCACTTGATTCACTTGACTCACTTGATTCACTTGACTTGGCACTCGGCTCACTTGACTCGGCACTCGGCTCACTTGACTCGGCACTCGGCTCACTTGACTCGGCACTCGGCTCACTTGACTCGGCACTCGGCTCACTTGACTCGGCACTCGGCTCACTTGACTCGGCACTTGGCTCACTTGACTCGGCACTCGGCTTACTTGACTCGGCACTCGGCTCACTCGGCTCACTTGACTCGGCACTCGGCTCACTTGACTCGGCACTCGGCTCACTCGGCTCACTTGACTCGGCACTCGGCTCACTTGACTCGGCTTTCGGCTCACTTGACTCGGTACTCGGCTCACTTGACTCGGCACTCGGCTCACTTGACTCGGCAGTCGGCCCACTTGACTCGGCACTCGGCCCACTTGACTCGGCACTCGACTCACTTGACTCGGGACTTGACTCACTTGACTCACTTGACTCGGGACTTGACTCACTTGACTCGGCGCTTGACTCACTTGACTCGGGTTCGTCGAGGCAGAAGCGACGTGCGGGCTCGGCTGAGCGGACGAGAAGCGCGGGTTTGCCGAGCGCGGTCTCGGCAGGGCTGGGGTGAAGCGCGGGTTCGACATGGTGGGACCCTGGAATGATGGTCTTCCTGGCAGCACGCGCAGACCTCATAGGAGGATCAGCCACGCTGGAGATCGGTCCCGTACGGCCATAGACCGATCCGGTGGCTGGCTTGATTGCTGGCAAGACGTGGAGCGTGGTCTGAGGGGATACTGCAGGTTCAGGGTGCTTCTCCTCCTTGCCCACAGTAAACGGGGAACCGCTCCACAACAGAGCCAGGTCAACGTACCTTTCCAAAGACCCGTGCGGACCAGGTTCGGGCATCCGGGACCGGAGTGGTTCAGACAAACCCCCGCGGAAGAAGATCTTCAAGCCGTGGGTGTTCATTTGCGCGAGATATGCCAGCTCGAGGAATTCTGCGACATAATCCTCGATAGCGCGATTCTCCTGGCGAAGACGGAAGATCTGGACATCAGGACTCCAGGTCGGCATGGCTGCTGGATCACGATGCGGTGAGTTCTTCTGTAACGTGATGCGGTTGAATTACAGATGAGGCAGGATCCAACTGCAGCACACGCTTTAATTAACAAACTTTACAACAGGCAAGACTAGATACAGGACTCGGGAACAGGTACAACCAACATGACGTTAAACATTCGACAAGAACTCACAAAGACCAGGCTGAAACACAGGGCTTAAATAGTCAGGGACACACGAGCTAGATAGGATAACAAGGGGGCGTGGTAAATGGGAAACACCTGGGAAAACTAATGACAAGACAGGGAACCACTAAACATGACAGGACACAAAACCACTTCGTAACAATTACTTACCAATTCAGAGTTTCTTGTTAGTTAATTGTAGTTACTAGAATGTTAATATGGTGTTACTCATTTGATCCTGTGTAGTTATTCATTAATGACAGGGTAGTATTAAATCAATAAAAACCCTCACATAATGTTGGTCGAGATGTTGTCTCTCCTCCGCTGTTTGATTTTCAGTCAAATGATTCCAATATGTGTCATGGATCCCAGTGATGGCTCTGGCAAACCCCACGCAAGCGCAGAACACTCCAATGGTGGAGATGATACTCAAAGCAAGGCTGGCTGTGATCTGGGAGCAGTCAGTTCAGAAAACATCAACGCGAAAACAAAATATCAAACACATTTAAGAATATTAAAGGATTAGTTCACCTCAAAATGAAAATTTCCTAATAATTTACTCACCCCAATGCCATCCAAGATATCCATGCCTTTCTTTCCTCAGTGGAAGAGAAAATAAGTTTTTTGAGGAAAACATTTCTGGATTTTTCTTCGAATAATGGACTTCAATGGCAACCAACGTTTTGAATTCCAAATCAATGCAGTTTCAAAGGTCTTTGAAGTGCTTCAACGGGCTTTGCACGATCGCAGCTGAGGAAGAGGGTCTTATCTAGCCAAACGATAGGTAATTCCCCCCCAAAAAAAACCTTTTTAACTACAATTGTTCGGATTGAGCTGATCTGCAACGCGCCGGGAACTACGTCATCACGTTGAAAGGTATCTTGGATGGCATTGGGGTGAGTAAATTATTAGGAAATTTTCATTTTGAGGTGACCTAATCCTTTAATATTACACTTTAAATAGAGAAAATTGTATAGTTTGGACACATGCATTCTCAAAATTATTGATGAGTACAAACAGTGAAACACAAAGGTTAAACAGACACTTACGATCTTTTTGGAGGGGTTGCGTTCACACAGTATATACAAAACGCCACAGATAAAGAACTGCGAAAAAGGTAAGACATTTAGTATTCAACTGTTGCTAAATACTCATCATAATACACACAGATTCACACAGTTCATCTTTTAATGTGAATTAATTACTTAAAGTGCATGAATCATGAATTCAAAACAGTAACATATAAAATGTAGATAACACGTTTATATTCGCACTGTTTTTTCAGGATCTCAGGTTTACACATTTTGCATTTGAATTAGATAAATTGTTTAGATGTTTGATGTGTGATGCATAAGAATTTGAATGAATGTTTATACTTTTTTTTTAAATTGGTTAACGTTTGTTAAATGACTGAAACCTTTTTGCATTTTGCAAATTGTTGTGAGTGAAGTGGTCTTTTTACTAAAGTGATATCATATGCCATTTCAGTTAAATTGTAAAATGAACTAAAATGAATGAAAAGGGCATGATACTTGCCTACTAAATTTAAAGGACAAAAATAAATAAAAAAATGGTTCAATACAAGTTGTAGCTGATGTAGCAGATTTGCATTTGGACAGTTGTAAAAGTAATATTACGATTAGAACATATTAGACTTTTATGAGTGGAATAATCTCATAATTAATCTGTAGACCAGTGATTTTCAAATGTGGGGATCCAATCCAATGATTTTGTTTTGGAACATAAGGCTAGTTTTGCAGAGGTGTAGTTCATTAGTGTAGTTGGTTGTGGCCTTAGAAGTTTTCTTAGAAGTAATGAAAGAACAAAAACATGCTCATATAGTCACAAGAGCACATACCAGGATGGCGAGCCAGAAAGGGGTGTACATGTCTGCGGAGGTCATCGCATCTGACTGCACATTCATGGCGATCCCAAACATGATCAGGCATACGGCCATCATCACCAGCACAATCTTACACCGGACATGTGGAAACGGACAATCACATGTGAAACGTCTCTCAGAAAACCGCTTCTTAGGGGGGGGGGGACTTGGGACAGCAGGGGGACAAATACTAGATGTTGTCACAAGGTCATGCTACCTTGGTCCATTTTTGTTATTTCATGTGTTGTTTTGCGTTTCATAAATTATAATATCATTGTGAGTTCAATTCATATGTTTGGTCACACTTTATATGAGGAGTCTTTAACTACTATGAACTTACATTTAAAAAAAAGGTGTGAATTACTGAAATTGGTAACACTTTATTTTGATGGTCCCTTTTGAACACTCAGTTGATTATAAGTAACTTTGCAACTATATGTAAACTAACTCTCATTAGAGTATTAGTCGACTTTCTGCTTAATATCTGCAAACTCTTTATTGTGATGCTCCCCAACAGATATTCTACTGACTCTAGGTAACTTTGCAACTACATGTCAACTTATTCTACTAACCCTACCAGTCTACTAATACTCTACTAATACTCTGAGAACTAGTAGACATGTAGGTGCAACTTTACTTATAGTCAACAGAATGTGTATAAAAATAAAGTGAAATCGTGAAATTTAGTGAGTATTTGCTTAAAACAAGGAAAAATATCTGCGAGTGGAGTCAGAAAAATAATATTGACTCCCCTTTGAATTAGGTTTATTTATTTGGATGAGTCCTGATTGATCTGTGCTTGAATAGTTTTCTTCATCTGACAGGATGGTGTTGTGTGTCTCACTCCGATACACTTGGGTTGTCCTTTGAGGAAGCGGTGCACAGGTTTACTGCCGCCCGTCACCACACTGATCGGCTCCGACGCTCCTGTGGCTGCTGGACCCTCCACCATCACTGCAGCACAGTTACAATCACAGCTTTACTCAAGGCCTTTCCTCAACTGGACCCTCCTCCATCACTGCAGCACAGTTACAATCACAGCTTTACTCAAGGCCTTTCCTCAACTGGACCCTCCACCATCACTGCAGCAAAGTTACAATCACAGCTTTACTCAAGGCCTTTCCACAGCTGGACCCTCCACCATTACTGCAGCACAGGTACAATCACAGCTTTACTCAAGGCCTTTCCTCAACTGGACCCTCCACCATCACTGCAGCACAGTTATAATCACAGCTTTACTCAAGGCCTTTCCACAGCTGGACCCGCCACCATCACTGCAGCACAGGTACAATCACAGCTTTACTCAAGGCCTTTCCTCAACTGGACCCTCCACCATCACTGCAGCACAGTTATAACCACAGCTTTACTCAAGGACTTTCCACAACTGGACCCTCCACCATCACTGCAGCACGGTTACAATCACAGCTTTACTCAAGGCCTTTCCACAACTGGACCCTCCACCATCACTGCAGCACAGTTACAATCACAGCTTTACTCAAGGCCTTTCCACAACTGGACCCTCCACCATCACTGCAGCACAGTTACAATCACAGCTTTACTCAAGGCCTTTCCTCAACTGGACCCTCCACCATCACTGCAGCACAGTTATAATCACAGCTTTACTCAAGGCCTTTCCACAGCTGGACCATCCACCATCACTGCAGCACAGGTATAATCACAGCTTTACTCAAGGCCTTTCCACAACTGGACCCTCCACCATCACTGCAGCACAGTTACAATCACAGCTTTACTCAAGGCCTTTCCTCAATTGGACCCTCCACCATCACTGCAGCACAGTTACAATCACAGCTTTACTCAAGGCCTTTCCTCAACTGGACCCTCCACCATCACTGCAGCACAGTTATAATCACAGCTTTACTCAAGGCCTTTCCACAACTGGACCCTCCACCATCACTGCAGCACAGTTACAATCACAGCTTTACTCATGGCCTTTCCTCAACTGGACCCTCCACCATCACTGCAGCACAGTTATAATCACAGCTTTACTCAAGGCCTTTCCTCAACTGGACCCTCCACCATCACTGCAGCACAGTTATAATCACAGCTTTACTCAAGGCCTTTCCTCAACTGGACCCTCCACCATCACTGCAGCACAGTTATAATCACAGCTTAACTCAAGGCCTTTCCTCAACTGGACCCTCCACCATCACTGCAGCACAGTTACAATCACAGCTTTACTCATGGCCTTTCCTCAACTGGACCCTCCACCATCACTGCAGCACAGTTATAATCACAGCTTTACTCAAGGCCTTTCCTCAACTGGACCCTCCACCATCACTGCAGCACAGTTATAATCACAGGTTTACTCAAGGCCTTTCCACAACTGGACCCTCCACCATCACTGCAGCACAGTCATAATCACAGCTTTACTCAAGGCCTTTCCTCAACTGGACCCTCCACCATCACTGCAGCACAGTTACAATAACAGCTTTACTTAAGGCCTATCCTCAACTGGACCCTCCACCATCACCGCAGCACAGTTATAATCACAGCTTTACTCAAGGCCTTTCCTCAACTGGACCCTCCACCATCACTGCAGCACAGTTACAATCACAGCTTTACTCAAGGCCTTTCCTCAACTGGACCCTCCACCATCACTGCAGCACAGTTATAATCACAGCTTTACTCAAGGCCTTTCCTCAACTGGACCCTCCACCATCACTGCAGCACAGTTACAATCACAGCTTTACTCAAGGCCTTTCCTCAACTGGACCCTCCACCATCACTGCAGCACAGTTATATTCACAGCTTTACTCAAGGCCTTTCCACAACTGGACCCTCCACCATCACTGCAGCACAGTTATATTCACAGCTTTACTCAAGGCCTTTCCACAACTGGACCCTCCACCATCACTGCAGCACGGTTATATTCACAGCTTTACTTAAGGCCTTTCCACAACTGGACCCTCCACCATCACTGCAGCACAGTTATAATCACAGCTTTACTCAAGGCCTTTCCACAACTGGACCCTCCACCATCACTGCAGCACAGTTATATTCACAGCTTTACTCAAGGCCTTTCCACAACTGGACCCTCCACCATCACTGCAGCACAGTTTTATTCACAGCTTTACTCAAGGCCTTTTCACAACTGGACCCTCCACCATCACTGCAGCACAGTTACAATCACAGCTTTACTCAAGGCCTTTCCTCAACTGGACCCTCCACCATCACTGCAGCACAGTTATAATCACAGCTTTACTTAAGGCCTTTCCACAACTGGACCCTCCACCATCACTGCAGCACAGTTATATTCACAGCTTTACTCAAGGCCTTTCCACAACTGGACCCTCCACCATCACTGCAGCACAGTTATATTCACAGCTTTACTCAAGGCCTTTCCTCAACTGGACCCTCCACCATCACTGCAGCACAGTTATAATCACAGCTTTACTCAAGGCCTTTCCTCAACTGGACCCTCCACCATCACTGCAGCACAGTTATATTCACAGCTTTACGCAAGGCCTTTCCACAACTGGACCCTCCACCATCACTGCAGCACAGTTATATTCACAGCTTTACTCAAGGCCTTTCCACAACTGGACCCTCCACCATCACTGCAGCACAGTTATATTCACAGCTTTACTCAAGGCCTTTCCTCAACTGGACCCTCCACCATCACTGCAGCACAGTTATAATCACAGCTTTACTCAAGGCCTTTCCACAGCTGGACCATCCACCATCACTGCAGCACAGTTACAATCACAGCTTTACTCAAGGCCTTTCCTCAACTGGACCCTCCACCATCACTGCAGCACAGTTATAATCACAGCTTTACTCAAGGCCTTTCCACAACTGGACCCTCCACCATCACTGCAGCACAGTTACAATCACAGCTTTACTCAAGGCCTTTCCTCAATTGGACCCTCCACCATCACTGCAGCACAGTTATAATCACAGCTTTACTCAAGGCTTTTCCACAACTGGACCCTCCACCATCAATGCAGCACAGTTATAATCACAGCTTTACTCAAGGCCTTTCCTCAACTGGACCCTCCACCATCACTGCAGCACAGTTACAATCACAGCTTTACTCAAGGCCTTTCCACAACTGGACCCTCCACCATCACTGCAGCACAGTTATAATCACAGCTTTACTCAAGGCCTTTCCACAACTGGACCCTCCACCATCACTGCAGCACAGTTACAATCACAGCTTTACTTAAGGCCTTTCCACAACTGGACCCTCCACCATCACCGCAGCACCGTTATAATCACAGCTTTACTCATGGCCTTTCCTCAACTGGACCCTCCACCATCACTGCAGCACAGTTACAATCACAGCTTTACTCAAGGCCTTTCCACAACTGGACCCTCCACCATCACTGCAGCACAGTTATAATCACAGTTTTACTCAAGGCCTTTCCTCAACTGGACCCTCCACCATCACCGCAGCACAGTTACAATCACAGCTTTACTCAAGGCCTTTCCTCAACTGGACCCTCCACCATCACTGCAGCACAGTTACAATCACAGCTTTACTCAAGGCCTTTCCTCAACTGGACCCTCCACCATCACTGCAGCACAGTTACAATCACAGCTTTACTCAAGGCCTTTCCTCAACTGGACCCTCCACCATCACTGCAGCACAGTTATAATCACAGCTTTACTCAAGGCCTTTCCACAGCTCAACCCTCCACCATCACTGCAGCACAGTTACAATCACAGCTTTACTCAAGGCCTTTCCTCAACTGGACCCTCCACCATCACTGCAGCACAGTTACAATCACAGCTTTACTCAAGGCCTTTCCTCAACTGGACCCTCCACCATCACTGCAGCACAGTTATAATCACAGCTTTACTCAAGGCCTTTCCACAGCTGGACCCTCCACCATCACTGCAGCACAGTTACAATCACAGCTTTACTCAAGGCCTTTCCTCAACTGGACCCTCCACCATCACTGCAGCACAGTTATAATCACAGCTTTACTCAAGGCCTTTCCACAGCTGGACCCTCCACCATCACTGCAGCACAGTTACAATCACAGCTTTACTCAAGGCCTTTCCTCAACTGGACCCTCCACCATCACTGCAGCACAGTTATAATCACAGCTTTACTCAAGGCCTTTCCACAGCTCAACCCTCCACCATCACTGCAGCACAGTTACAATCACAGCTTTACTCAAGGCCTTTCCTCAACTGGACCCTCCACCATCACTGCAGCACAGTTATAATCACAGCTTTACTCAAGGCCTTTCCACAGCTGGACCCTCCACCATCACTGCAGCACAGTTACAATCACAGCTTTACTCAAGGCCTTTCCTCAATTGGACCCTCCACCATCACTGCAGCACAGTTATAATCACAGCTTTACTCGAGGCCTTTCCACAGCTGGACCCTCCACCATCACTGCAGCACAGTTACAATCACAGCTTTACTCAAGGCCTTTCCTCAACTGGACCCTCCACCATCACTGCAGCACAGTTATAATCACAGCTTTACTCAAGGCCTTTCCACAGCTGGACCCTCCACCATCACTGCAGCACAGTTATAATCACAGCTTTACTCAAGGCCTTTCCTCAACTGGACCCTCCACCATCACTGCAGCACAGTTACAATCACAGCTTTACTCAAGGCCTTTCCACAGCTGGACCCTCCACCATCACTGCAGCACAGTTATAATCACAGATTTGGCACATAAACAGATTCAGTATTCCTCAACATGAATAAAAACTGTGAAATACAAACAGAATATTACGGAAACCTGCAATAATTAAATATGCTAAATAACACATATGTACTTGATGTATTTAATCTCACTTTATTAACCAATGTTTCTGCTTCTGACCTTTGATGATCCAATTCAACCATACAAATTAGCAAAAAAACAAGCGTAGCGTCAGTTCTGGCAGGTCATGTTAGTCGAGCTCGCATCAGTGACTCTCAGCTGATCCTCTAACTATAAGAATACGACTCTATCACTGTATTCATATATAATCTCATCAGTATTATTCGCAGCGATCGCGTTTCTCAGGAGCGATTACCCTCCTCCCTCCCCAGCTCCTCCTGTCTCAGTCAGGATTTGGCATTCTGAGTGCCCTTGAATCAGAATAAATTCTCGAATTATGTTGTTCTTAAAATCTTGAATGAATGATATCCGCATACATTCATGTTGGTTCTGTTCTGTTTCCCCTAAGGGGGGTTATTGCTGCTCTTCTCCATGCTAGGCTGACTGGATGCACAGGGAGTTCTCGCCCAGAACAGAACCATACCTATGGTATGGTAAAATTAGTTTTTCCAGCTTCGCCTCCTGGCTAAAGTTAAGCCTGTCCTTAACAGGCATGATTTAGAAAAGGCGATTCATGCTTTAGTTCAAGGTTGGACTACTGTAATGCTCTTTATGTTGGTTTGAACCAAGCCTCCATTTCACGTCTTCAACTTGTGCAAAATGTTGCTGCTCGGTTTTTAACAAATATACCTAGGCGTGCACACATCACTCCCGTCCTCTACACCTTACATTGGCTCCCTGTGCGTTTTAGAATCGAGTTTAAGGTGTTATTGTTTGTTTTTAAGGCCCTAAATGGGCTAGCCCCGGAGTATTTATCGAGATTTTAACCCTGCGTGAGTACAGCAGATCGTGGCGGTCTTCAAACCAACTGGTTTTAGAAGTCCCGAGGTCAAGATCTAAACGATGGGGTGAGCAGGCTTTTGCAGTTGCTGCCCCGAGACTCTGGAACAAGTTACCCCCTGATATTCACACCAGTACAGATGTTACCCTGTTTAGGTCTAAACTCAAAACCTACCTGTTTAGAATGGCTTTTAATATGCAGTGGTGTGACATTTTCCTTTGTCTGTTCTATGCAACATTTTCTGATTTTATTGTTGTATATGTTTTATTCTGTTATGGTATGATATGTTGTTTTATTTGTAATCTTTGATGTGAAGCACTTTGGATACCTGAGGGTTGTTGTAAAGCGCTATACAAATAAATAATGATTGATTGATACCGCCAATCCAAGCTGTATGCTAATGGTCAATCGTATTTGACGATAGTGGTCCTGACAGAAATTACTATTAAACATCACATTTTTGTTTTTATTGCTGAAGTAGTGTTGAACTTCTCCTGCGTCCTGTTCTTCTGCGGTCCAGAATAGCAGAACCGCTGAAAGGTTTGTTTGTGTGGCGCCCTCTACTGTACAGGAGGGAATTCGCATTTCCTTCAGCCTGAGGCTTATTCAGTTCACTTCTGGTGTGAAAGGGACTTTACATTTGCCAACATTTTTATTTATTACAAAACATACAAGCCAGTCCTGCCCAGATGAGAAAAAGCAATGCAAAAGTAACTTAACACATTACTTTCAATAAAAAGTAACTAACACAATTAGTTACTTTCTTTAGGGAGTGATGCAATGTTATAACTCATTACTTTTAAAAGTAATTTACCACAGTATTGTCTGCATAGTGACCGCCTGCCAATGTTTTAACAGCCTCCCTGAACACACATGAAGCAACTATAACAGCTCGTCACTGATGCTGCGCACGCACTGAAGTCTTCTAATGCTCAACACCCTCACACTTCACGACTGTGGACTGGACTAACTCGTGGACTGTACCAACCTTAAAGCCTTTTCTTTTCTGTCTGCCAGTCAATTTGTATCAAGTCTCCTATATTTGACATTCATTCACAAAGAAATACATTTCAGCAAACTGCAACTGAAGGTCATGAGCATGTTGTGAGTATCAAAAACAAGCAACTAATGAAACAGTGAAGGAAAGAGCTTGTCAGTTACCTGCATGTGTCTGTAGTGAACCAGCAAGATGAAAACAAGGAAGTTGTGCAAGAGCAGAAGAGGAACAAGAGAAGAAAACAGAGGGAGGGAAGGACGGGGCGTCACCACGGGATGTTTGGGAAAAGAGGTCAAATCTGTGCTCAGCAAACAGAAACAATGGCCAGCTTCATGAAGAGTTGAGAAGAACACAGTCAGTGCTGTAACACATTCCTCAACTACACATACAACTATAATGGTTTGGGAAAGAAGAAGCATGAGGAGAGAGAATGAAAGATTGTCAAGTGTGAGAAAGAAGGGAATGCGGTGTCGAAAGCAGCTCCCAAAAGATAACAGCTGCTTCCTATGACAAGCTGACGGGATCCAGATGTGTCATGCTCAGCTCCACTAGTCCAGCTGTGGCCTCCACTTTACATGCATATAAATCCAGCTTTTTAAAGTAGCCTAGTTTTAAACATGAGTCTTTTTGTCATCCAAGCATGTAGAAACTCTCTCTCTCTCTCTCTCTCTCTCTCTCTCTCTCTCTCTCTCTCTCTCTCTCTCTCTCTCTCTCTCTCTCTCTCTCTCTCTCTCTTTCTCTCTCTCTCTCTCTTTCTCTCTCTCTCTCTCTCTCTCTCTCTCTCTCTCTCTCTCTCTCTCTCTCTCTCTCTATATATATATATATATATATATTAAAAAATTCTGTAAAAGTGATTTATATTGCCCAATATTTTTATTGGAATAAAAATCTTTTACAATTTCAAATAAATAAAATATCTATGAGTAAAATAAATTCAAATATCACTTTGAATTTATTTTACTCATAGATATTTTATTTATTTATCTGCTGAAGTAAAAATCACTGTAAATTGAGTAAATTTACTGCTATTAAATAATTTACTCTCCGTCATGTCGTTCCAAACCTGTATAACTGACTTCTGTGAAACACAAAAGATGATATTTTTAAGAATGTTGTAAACAAACCATTTTGGATTAACCTTTACTTCTAATGTACGGGCAAAAAAACACAGATATTTCTCAATTTATATTATTTTATGTTCCACAAAAGAAAGAAATTTATACAGGTTTGCAATGACATGATGATAAGTAAATGATGACAATTTTCAGTTTTGGGTGAACTATCCCTTATTTTTAACACCTAATTTATACAAGACATTGTTATTTATCTTTAATCAGTCTCTTATTGAATTAATATTTTACTTAAATTGAAATTAAACATATTTAAAGAGAAGAAAGCTTCGTCCTTAACTCGTGGGATCCAGGCTGTAGGTGTTGTCACGTGACGTGAGTGCACGAGAAAGAGAAATATGAATGCTCTCCTATTTTCCCAAGAAAGTTTTCTGTTCCTTGTCTTGCATTATTTGAGTTATCCGTGATTTGTGGTTGTATGTTTCCTGGTTTAGGTTTTGTATTAAAGGTCTCGTATATTATCGCCTTCGTCGTGCGCTTGATTACAGACAAACGTTTTGTGTTTTCGGCATATTAGACAAATGATATATATATATAACCTATATATTATTTGCAAATAGCTTAAATCATGAGTGTAGCTTGTGGGAAAGTTGCAACTACATAGTTTTACAAATAAATGATATTTTCAGCTCGAAAGTAAAATTTTGTGATTTTAATCAATTTTGAATTGTTTTGGTCGCCTCAACGTTCAAAAACCTTTGTCGCATTATTTTAAGATCTTAATGTCGAGAATGTTTTATCACATGGCATTCATTCTCTCGTTCTCATTCTCGGTCCGTCCCTGCTGTCTTTCTTATTGCTGACATTGGTGTAAATATTTGGTCTGATTTGAATTTGCCACATATAATAAACACATGAGATTGATGGTGATTATTTTACGTTTTAATAAAAGTATATATTAAAATTAGTAATAATTGTTTATAAATATTCTAACTGATCCAACTGAAAAAAGCTGTGAAAACACTGATTCCTACATTTTTTAAAGAAGTCTAGGAAATAATATTAACCTCAATGTGTTGTTGCGGTTGTTGTTGTTTCTGACGTTTAGAAAAATACAATGATAGACAAATATGACATATTTATATGTAACTACTTAGTTAAAAAGTTAGAAAAAGAAGGAGAGCCACAGAATTGAACAACAGTGAATTACAATGACTATCCCTTTAGGAACATCAGGAGTGTAGCACAACTTGTGTCCACCAGGGGGCGCTTTACACCGAGTCCTGACCAGAGACACCAGGCATGATGGGAGATTTCAAACTTCTTTCATTCGAAAAACATCACATGTACTCGCTTGTTTGTGTAATTTCATCAGGATTTGCTGCTTCAGTCAGCTTCTGCACTAGCCTTAACCTTTCCAGTAGACAAACTCAATCTTTGTGTGATCAAACACATTTAGTGCCTTTTTCCAGTGTTTGAATCCACTACTCACAAATACATCATGCTTCACAAATTACCAAAGACACACAAAGCCGTTTGCAGAATCTTTCTTCTGTGAGTATATGAGCCATTATCCTGGGGATGATGATGATGATGTGGTTTTGGCTATTTTTGGATCTTTTCACCCAAGTCAAACTGCTGCCTGTACTTCATCTGTGTCGGTCTTTTTCTGAGGCTGCAAATCTATTCTGTCTTCATGACAATCAGCTAAAAACACAAGGTTTCCAAGCACAGTTAAACTTCTCAGTATACAGTACTGTGAGAATTCCCTTCTGCATTTCCAAACATCTTACACAAGTGACATTTGGTGGTCCATTGGTAAATATATCTTGAGATAATAGATATCCATGCTATTTCAAGGATCTTAACTCTTTTCCCGCCATTGACGGAATTTGGCTCTTTTCTTTCTTTTGATATATTGCATGTTCAGATATTCATACAACACAATATTCTGGGGGCCATGAACGTTTTGTGAAAATGATCAAAAATGCCGTGGTGGCTGGAAACATTTATTTTAAAATGCTGGCAGGGAAAGATTTAACTACAATTTTTTTATATTAATTCATTTATATATTCATTTATATTTTATATTTAAGTGAAAGACACTTTGTCCAAACCTACTGAGTAATCATAGGAATAATCATAGATATCCTTTATACCAGAGACGAGAACATAGACGAACCCTTCATTGTTGTATTCACTGGATCATCTTTCACCAATGCTACTGTAGAATTATACAGGGCTCCTGTGGACGTACAAGCATAAGCATGTGCTGGATATATGTGCTAATATCGCCCCTGAGGGTCCGAGCAGTTCATCTTCCAGGCCACCAGAGGACTGTCACGTCCTGAGAGTACGTGTCTAGCACATAGACAGTATAAGAAGTGGACAGAGCATCTCATTGGAACTCAGTTGAGGCAGTTGAAGCCCATTTTTAGCGATTTTTGAGCACTTCCGTTCCTGACGCGCAGACTCAAACCGACTCAAACTAAGCTTGATGACGTGCGCAACCTGTCTGACAGACGTAAATATTCTAGTAGAGGTGCCAAGAGGAATCTGAATCATTCCCTTCCGAATCTTGCAGAGCCGGAGATCGTGAGTATTAGCTTTATGCCTCCACGTCCCCCCGATTGCGCGCGAGTTTCTACTTCTGTCTATACGGTAATTTTCTCTAGTGTGCGCCAGAGAGTCGCGTGTTATGACGCAATCGTTAGCCTATTTAAAAAAACGGCTTCTACGGGGCCATAACGTAAGATACAAAGTAATGGAGCCTTTTATACATTGTCGTGTTTCTTTAGAAATAAATAATGGACAAATGGAGTCTTTAAACGCCTCAGATGTAAAGTTATTCGCTGTCAAAGTGACGCCAAAATGAATGGGAGTCAATGGAAATGCTAACGCAAGTGAAGTTCTGCTACAAGATGGAGGCACCCGGCCGGCTTCAACTTCCGGTCGATGGATTACCCCCTTGGTCTAGCAGAGCCGGATCTCCTAGATGCTTTCTCAGACATGGGTTTCTCTTTGTTCTGTAGTTATAAGCAGGATATCATTTATGTTGGCCAACTATTCTATTCTATTCTATTCTATTGTCAATTGCACAGCTTATTGAAGAAATTTGAATTGTGAAGAGGTAAATAATATGCGTAAATATAGTTAAATTATTGCCTAATTATTCTATTCTATTCTCAATAGCACAGCTTATTGCAGCAATATGAATTGTAAATTAAACTGACTTGATAAAACTAACTTAAGCAGTATATAAGTTGTTACCCAACCATTCTATTCTGTTCTATTCTATTCTATTCTATTCTATTCTATTCTATTCTATTCTATTCTATTCTATTCCCAATAGCATGACATATTGAACCAATGTGAATTGTGAAAGCACTAAATAAAATTGACTTTAACTTTCATTAAAAAAACATGAATGGCATAAAAAATTATACAGCAAGACATTATTTATCTTATATTAAAATTGCAATAAAATGAAGCAAAATTCTTATGGAATAAAGTAAGCCAAGGCTAAATTATGTGCTTTTACATTGTTTCTAAGACTTTTACTAATTGTTCTGTAAGTATAATCAGTATAGAATTGTGTTGCCCAACTATTCTATTATATTCTGTTCTGTTCTATTCTATTCTATTCTATTCTATTCTATTCTATTCTATTCTATTCTTAATAGCATTGCTTATTGAAACAATCTGAATTTTAAATGTAACTGACTTAATAAAACTGACTTAAGCAGTATATTATTTGTTATTCTATTCTATTCTCAATAGCACAACTTATTGAGGCAATGTGAATTGTGAAAGCACAAAATAAAATTGACTCAAACTTTCATTTAAAAAGATTGGCATTACAAACTCTACAGCAAGACAACAATACATCTTATTATTTATCTTATATTAAAATATAAAGTAAATGTAATAAAGTAAAACTATGATCAAATAAAGTCAGACTAGGTTACATTTTGTGATTGTATTTTTTTATTCTATTCTATTCTATTCTATTCTATTCTATTCTATTCATGGACTGCCTGCAGTAGATAGTTCACAAAGGCAAGTGAATCTTGAAACAGGTTTTAATTGGTAAGCCGCAGGGATACACAGGAGAAAGGAACACAACTAACTAAACTCTAACGACAAACAACAACAGTGCAAGACAAGGGAGAGACTGAAAGTGAGGGCTTAAGTGCACAGGCAAACAAGGGAGCTAACCAGATAATTAACAAGAATCTCCATAGAAACAAACAGGCAGGGGACAGAGGATGACATGACTAAATAACAACTAATGAGCTAACTTAGAAACACAGACAAGAACTGAACAGATCAAAAAC